GGACCGCCCCCGGCGCCGGGGCGGCAGGGGCGCCCGCGGGCTTCTCTTTCTCCGGGTACGGGAGGCGGACGGCGGCCGGGGGCAGGAACATGTTGAAGACGGGCAGGGGGGCCGCCTGCTGCGGGGGCAGGGTGGCCATGGCGATGGGAAGGGTCAAATTCACGCCCCCCGGCTCCTTCGGCGCCAGGGCGGGGGGCGAGGAGCGGACCGTCAGGTGGGTCTTCTCCAGGGCCGGGGCGCGCGGCAGCAGCTGGGGGAACCTCTTCATCACCGCCTCCACCTGCGAGTCGCGTCCCGCCGCCTTGCTGCCCTCAGAGCCCTTCCCGGCCTTGTCGCCAGAGGGCTGCTTGCCTGGCACTGCCCGCTCTCCGCCATCCCTGTCCTGCAGAAACACAAGACGCGGGCATCCTGAGTGTTGCTCCCGAGCCACGACTTCTCTTCCGCTGCTCTCCGCTGTCGTAGCGACTGGTAACCAGTACAGGGCAGCACGGTGGCGCAGGGGTCAGCATTGCCCGGGGTACAATTCCTGACCTGGGGTGCTGTCTGTGTGGAGTCTGCATGGTCTCCCTGTGTTTGCGTGGGTTTCCTCCAGGTGCTCTGGATTCCTCCCACAGTTCAAAGACGTGCTGATGGGTTAACTGGCTCCTGGGAAATTGGCCCTGGTGTGAGTGTGTGTGTATCAGTGTGCCCTGCACTGTCCTGCCTCGCGCCATGCCTCCCTGGAACCCCGTACCAGATGAGCGGATAAGAAGACAGAATGATGGATACTTGTGTGGTGAAGTCACCAGGAGGTGGCAGTAATGAGACGAGCGGCTTCAGGTCTCAAAACAAGAGAGCTAGGGCAAGTCCTAATCAGAGACTCCATATGAAATTGCAAAATTAAATTGTTAATTACTTTTAAAGTACAGGAACTCTTGCAATCAACCAGCAAGTCACAGGGGGCAGCTGTTTTTGCCTGACTTATGTACATACTTATGTACTTCACCCTGCCAGTTTCAGTGACTCCTGGTTGAATAATTAGGGCACTGGGCTCAACCATGGGTTCTGAGTGCCTGCTTTTTCTCCACTCAGGAGTAACTGACTCCGGTGTGTTTGTATATGAGGTGCAGCAGGAAACAAGCCTCTTGTCCATTCCCTTGTTCTGAACTGGAATAGTCCCTCTTAACACCTGACACTTTAATTACGAATCTAATCTGGGCCTCTCTCAGCAGCAGAAAGGGGTCTGACTGGCGGGTCTGTCTAAAACCTCCTTGGTGCCACACTGGGAGCGCCCAGATCCCCACTCCAGCCATCACGGGATCCTGGCCTGTCCTGACAGCATTCAAACAGAGCTCTGGACAGGGGGACAGTGTCAGGGTGCTGCCTTCTAGCACAGGGGCTCGCTTGTAGCTGTGTGACAGGATCTGTGGACACTGAGGAAGAAATGTGGGAGGGGAGAACCATTTTGTGCTGGATGGGGGAAATATTGTTTTGTTGTTGGACTCATCTTGTAAAGCCCCCATAGAAAAAAGGACAGGTGCAACACCTTTGCCTCTGGGCCGCTCCCCTCTCCCTCTGTCCCACTGCTTCTGGAGGGCAGCTGACCCTTCATCGCCTTGAAAGGCTTCGCTGGACCTCCTGCAGAACACAAAGGGAGGCCGATTAGCTCAACTCTGAGCCACTGATACAGGAAAAAACAGTGGAAATGAAGTGCATTTAACACTGAGAATGAATGGCATGCCATTACACAAAGCATTGTGTATGTCTGGAATAAGAAACCCAAGTCGTGCTGTCAAAGCTGATTCGCTGGGCTCTTTTAAGAAAGGCTGGATAAGATCCTCAGATCAGTTAGCAACAGGTGCAGACGCTGTTATGCTCCTATGAAAGCCTGCAGGTGGGAGACAGGGCACTGACCGGCCAGTGCGGCGGAGGTGATGAGCTCGGCCTGGCTGCAGCGCGGGTTGACAATGTGCTCCTGTACCAGGAAGCGGGCAATCTCCACCACCGTGTCAAAGGACCGCTTCAGGATCTTCTCGGCCCAGTCGCAGATCAGCTCGCAGGCGGCCTCCGTCACCTCCTGGTTGTAGGTCTGCACCAGCTCTGTCAGCTCCGACTGCGCCGGAGGGAGAGGAAAGTGGAGAAAACACTGTCACCGCCAGATCTCGCTCTCCGTGTCTGTCACTGCGTCTCGGTGACATGCTCCTGATTGAGCATTTTTAAACTGCCCCCCTGGGGAAGAATAAAGAATTTGAAATGAATTGAGGTGCTTGAGATTCAACCAGTAAAGGCGTTTGCATAACGCAAAGCGGAGGCTGAGCCCTCTTGTCTACATCTCACCAAATCAAGTCTGGTCCATGTTATAAGGGGACTGGGATTTCACCAGGGGTTCAGTTTAACAGTGATCCCTGGGCGGAGCAAGGTGCTTGCGTGCTTCCTGTGACATCAGTGACAGACTCGCTGCTCCTCCAATCAGAGGTGACTCTCCTGCAAGGTGCTGCAGAGCTCAGAGAGTGTCAAAAGACTAGTGGCTCTGACAAGCGGGCTTCCTTCTCCCTGTGTAATATATAAGTGTGCATATAATACAGGGGCAGCTTCATAAATGGTAATTACATCATGAAAACTACATTATTAAATTCAAGTGCTAAGCAAAAAGAGAGTGCAAGACCTCCTGTGGATGTGATAGTACTTCATCACAGGTCACCTCCTCAGTATCTGCCGATAGAGGTTCATGTAGGTAGGTGGATTAGCGCCACACATTTCCTTGGCTCTGTGAGCTTGTGTGCTTCTTGTCCACACACGACAGTTTCCTTTTGCTCTCCTATCGGACGGCACGGGGTCATCTTTCACCAGAACTCTAAGGCCTGCATGTCCTCCTGCCCCAGAAAGGGCTGTGCAAGCCAACAGCAGCGCAGTGTGGCAGGAGAGGTGAAGGAAATCTTACCGGGTCGTTCTTCAGGTCCAGATTAGGTAGCAGGGGCATGTTCAGAACTGTCTTCCGGCGAATCCCGCTATAGCAATACGTGCCGGGAAGTGAGTCAAGGATCCCAAGTGCACCACATACACACATACATCACAGCTGTGTGTAGAACACGCTAACAGCAGCACACATTCCAAACCACTGCGGCCTTTTGTCCTCAACACGACAAGTGCCTGCTTATGCTGCTGTACCTTTTAACAAATGAAACAGAATCGTGCAATAATCTGATAATCTGTTAATACATTAACGAAAGGATGCACTGCATTGAAACATGGAAAACCAAGGGGTGCAGCAGGACCACGAGCTGAGGAGCCTGATTCTGTGCAGTTAAGGATTAGTGGACAAGAAAAAGGCAGTCCCTGGCTACTGTCAGTCAGCATGTGGACCAGAACCAAGGATTTGGACCTGCATGTCACCTGGGTGCCTGTAAATCTTGGCCGATCCAGCCCCTGCTGAAGCTTCAACAGTGCAACAGCTGAGGATGGACGGTCTGTGCTTTAAGGACCCATCGTGCAGAACACAAAACCTAACGTCAAATTCCAGTGTAAGCAGCACAGCACTCACTTAGCATCACCATCGTGGCTCTGGCCACAATATCTGAAATCTTATCAAATAAGATAAGCTTCAATGTGTTAGTGGAGCACTTCCATCTGTATTCGCTCATGTGTCCTAATCTCTGCGAAGCCTCTTCTTTCTTGGACAGATCACAGAGCCATCAGGCTATGTAATTCCAGAAGCATGTGGTGGCGACAGCCTTTTGGAGCGCTATGACTCTGCTTTCACCCTAACCCCTCTCAGAAACCCCGAACCCCGGCATCAGCTCAAAGGATATTTTGACTGCCCTCTTCCACCTAGCCTCCTGGCTTTAATGTTGGGGAAAATGTCCCGGATGATCTTCCCGAAGTTTGCGGCGCTCAGGGCTCGGTACTGGAGGTTTTCACAGTGTTTCCTAAGAGGAAGAAATGCATGGGGAAAAAAAAACAATTTAGGAGGCATGGAAGGAAGAAACACAGACAGCCTTATGGGGAGAGTGGAAGAGGTACTTCTGACATTTCAAGAGCTCTCTTTCTGTGAAATGGTCTTATAAAGTCACTAAAGCCGATCGTGGGAGACTGGCCTCAGTTCCTGCCACCACCTCAGGTCTGATCCTGGGTGTGATTTCAGAAAAAGCACCGTTCTGTCTGCATGTTCACACCACAGACTTTCTCCAGGTGCTGCACGGTCATGTTGTTAATCCAAATTCCCCGAGACTGTTCAAGGAAGAGCTGGATAAAATCCTTGGTTCATTCAGCTAGTAGCAGCTGGAATACACATTCCTCCTGTTTGGAAGCTCGTGATGGGGAACGGATGATCCCGTGTTTCGGCAGGCTCACCTGTAGGTCTCGTACACATCCTGCTTGGGCAGGCAGGTGTCGGCGTGCTCCTCCAGGTGACTCCGGATCCAGTTACAGGTGTGCAGCTGGTCCGCTGTGCTGAAGGAGCTGGAGTCACTGCTGCTGCTCAACACACACAAACACATACAACATCACTCACCACCCTCCAGGGAGGAAGGGCTGCAGGGACAAATGCGACCATACTGCTGTGTTTAAACGATGGGGAGCTTATTAAGCTTCATGAACTGGTGTCATTTAAACAGCTCCAACCTGAAAGTCAGACGCCGGGGATCAGTTAGAACCGATTCACCCCAGAGGGCAAGTTCCAATAGACCAAGGCAGCGTGTGATGGATGGCACTATCGTCTCAGTGTGATCAAAGTCTGCGTGCATGATGGTTTGTATCTGTCCACTCCCGGGCTGGGCTCGGGTTTGTGCCCAGGGCAGAGGCGTCACGAGTGCATCCACTCGCAGTCCTGGAGAGCCCGTGTGTTTGCAGAGTTTCAAAGTCTCTTCAAACGCAGCAGCAACAGAAGAGCTGGGAGAAGTTGGTAAATCCCTCCAATTAAGGCAATAACTAACTGAACGAATTATTAACAGGGCTGGGTTGGACTGAGAACCTGCAGACACACTGGCCCTCTGGGACCAAGAGTGGCCACCACCAGGTCCATGGGAACATGGCCTCATCTGTACGCGCACCACGATGCACTGCTCCAAAACACGGCTTTTTCAGCAGCTGTATCAGCTGGCCAACTATCTGTAAATGCTTTCTGTAGAACCCAAATAAAGCGTCTAATAATAATTTAGAAGTGTTTAACTCAGCCTGTGGTATCAAGGGAGGAATTAGGAAGATTATGCTGTACTTGGCAGAATATTCTGCAATTGCAGGATACCAGAAAGGTCACAAATAAGAAGAGAGGAAGCCGCAGCTCATTCTGCTCTAAGTGGTTCAGTAGCTAGTAATGGGATCACATCCAGCAAGTGAAAAAAAAAGACAGATGCAGACTCCACACAGCTATCCCAAGCTGGAAGGCAGAAATGCTGACCACAGCACCACCATGCCTTGTATCAGAGCTCTATCAGTTTAAAACCAGCAGCCCTGATGCACTGATCAAGCAAGAGTGGCACAAGACCGAGCTCGGATATGGAGCGGTCACAAACACAGAGATGTCGGAAGAGCTTGGTGCTGGGCTCCAGGCAGGGCCTGATGCAAACGAAGGAGAAGAAGGTTCACATACTCACACCACAGCTTGAGGAGAAGACCATGGGGACTGGCTTGCCCTTTTCTGGGGGGGGGGGCTATTTGGGTGGACATGATTTTGGAATGGAAGATTCCAAAATGGGGAGCCAAAGACCAGAAGATGGGGGCGCAGAGCATGCGAACGGCAGGGCATACAGTACCTCTTCTCTCCCGCGTTGGGGCCAGAGGGCAGCTGCAGGTACAGGTACAGCTTGTCGTTGTCGGAGAACCTCTGCACGTCTTGCTGTGGAGACAGAATCCAGACAGACACCGAGTGAGACGGCCTGGAGTCGGGACCGACGGGCACAGAAACACATTCCTCGGCAGCCCAGTACCGTTAAACTTACCAGGATCGAATCCACTTTAGTCTGGATATTCTTGCTGTAACCGAAAAATAATGAAAAGGGTCATCATACATCAGTTCTGTCTCCACAATAAGGGAATACCATGCCTTTGCTATTACTGGCTTTGCTTTTTCAAGGTTTGATTCATTTCTTCTTACAATTTGACATGACATTTTCTTCCCTATGAAAGACTATATTACTTGTTCTGATGTTGGATAGGATCTTAATTCAGTTGCGTGCAAATGTTTAGGTCAAACTGTGTGTTTCAGTGAATCTCTATGCTGAGAGTGAAAAGAAGCTGACACAACATTTTGTGTGGTACAAACTAAAAGGGGGAACTGCAACGTTATTTTCATATTTCGGGGTTAGAAAGAATCGGCATTGATGAGAGCCAAAATAAAAGAAAAAAATTCCAGGTATGTGCAGCACTATATTCTGCGATTACAGAACGGGGCAGCAAAACATCCAGTGACGTGATGCGGCCCTTTTTAAACCGTAAACAAGCAGGCTTGTGAATACAGCTCTTTTAATCCGACAGAAATACTATCTAATGCCAACGCTCTCGACTTTGAGACTTTTTTGCAGATAACTGGAACTAACTTGTTAACTCTGCATGCAGATCACATTGGAACATTTCTGCAGTGAAATGTCTGCAGGCACAACCCGGACTCATTTGCTTGTTCATCACAGTGCACTAGTCATTACAGTGACTAGTGAGCAGGAAGGGCTGCTCGCGTGAACTCAAATGCGAGTTTGTGACACCATGCAGACTTACAGTACTTTCACCGAGGTCGTTTTTTTTGGGTGCTCGATTTCGAAATTTGCAGACTTTGGAACTTTTCTATGACATCCACGAACTGATTCTGTTAAGATTGCAGAAGCGGTCTGAAACCGCGGGCCTGCGGCTGCCCTTCAAGATCCCCAGCTGGCGCGGCCGAGCGGCTTACGAGATGCTGCTCTTCAGTTTCTGCAGCAGCATGTTGGGCTCGGTGTCGCCCTCCGGCGCCGGGAGCCCGCCCCTCTTGGAGCTCGCCGCCTGGGGGCCGTCGTCCGCCATGCTTCCGGCACGTCGCCACGGACACCAGCATCCAGGGGCCCCTGGGAACCTGGAACTGAAGCGGGTCACACACACACACACAAAAAACAAACAAACACGTGGGTCACCATGCCACTTCGCCTGGCTCTCCTGCTCTTTGGTCCCGTCTTCCAGTTGCGGGTTCTGACTGATCCCCTCCCCGGTTTGTAAATAAGGCTTATTTAGACCAGTTTCATCCTCGCAATGCCACGTCACAGCAGGCTACCCCAGCTGCAGTACCCCATATGCCCAGGTCACAGGGTGGGCCAAGACGAGGCGCAGGATGACGACCTCAGACTTCACCAGTGCTCAACACCGGCTTACAGGACAGAGCCAATTCGCTCCTCAAACAGGATCATCCAGGATGATTTCTCCCTGCTTTATCCATTACTGTGATTCAAAGTCAACTATATTATTTTTGCCGTCTTATTATAAGACTACAGCCAACAGCACCGCCAATAACTCCTAATTCTGAGGTGACCGCTTCTGCTTCCGATCACACCGGCAAACTGGAGTTAAAACGATGTGTGAAGTACCAGGTCTCCTCTCAGCGGCGGCAGAAAACACTCCTGTAGTGCTCGGCTAAAGGTTCAAGCCGTTCAGAGAGGAGCGCTCTTCACGCACAGCAGTTGTTCAAGTCATTAAGCGGACTTGCGTGGTGTGTCAATGAAAAGGGTGGGCGGTAGCAGAGACGGACTGCCTGCGTGACCCTGTGGGGAAGATTTCGTAGTGTAAAAAAAAGGGACAAAGTTGAGCTCACTTTGCTCAAAAACCCCTTTTCAGCAGCACTGCTACGAGGGGTTTGTGGAATAATTCAGGTGTCCTTCCTCAGCTCCCTCTCTATAAACCTGAGGTTCGCCTGTTGCCGATTTTGTAAGATACTGCTGTCTGGATGCGGCATTAATACTTCATTCACTTCACAGAAATCAGTTCCACTCAGTTCCCTCTCTCCCCTCGGTCCGAGCTCACGTGTGGCCAATGCTGTAATAACCGACGACGAGGCCGCGGGATTCTTTATTTAAAAAATAAAAAAAACACGTTTTTATTTGAATTCTAAAGCAGTTTAAAATCCTCCCCACGAGACGCGTCTTACAGGTAGTTCCGCAGCGGGAAAAGGAAGCAGGTGCCGCGCGAGGTGCGCAGCGCGCGCGAGTTACCTCCGCGTTCGGGTCAGTAACGGATCTTTTTTTTAAAAAAAAAAACGGCCAGAAAGAAGCCCGGGAACCGGGAGGTGAATTCCTCAAGCGGCGTCGGTATAGACGCCGGAGCTTTTCAAAAGACGACCTTGCGACCTAGCCGGGACTAGCCCGGCGTGAAGCGTTTCGGGTAACGAAACCCCCCGCCCCCTTGGCCGTGCCGGGGCAAGACCAGTCGGTGTACAAACGTCGCGACACTGCGCAGCCGACGCCGGCCGATTTCCCTCCAAAAGAAAGTCGCCGCCACTTTCTGAATGAGAGACGGGAGGGAGCTGCCATCGCCACACAGGCGGCGGCGGCGGCCACTCCCACCCGCAACCGTGCCACAACTCCGACAACACCCCGCCGCCGACGGCCGACAGAAAGCGGCATCTTCGTTCGAGTTTACACCGCTTCCCTTCCCACGAACACCCCCCAAAAGACACTCTTCACCCCCCACCGCTGAAGTGTTAAAGCTAACAGCGGCGTGTTTGGTCGTCCCGGTATTCGAGATGGGCTTTCGTGAGCCAGCAGCGGGATCTGATTTAACGTTTGTTTTTGACGGGGAAGGGGGGACATGCCTTCACTTAAGAGGGGGGTTTCTTTTTTTTAAAAAAAAACACCTCCGCTGAAGGTTATAACACTCACCCCGGTTCACTGCCCAAGTTGCGAGTGCCGCCGACCCGCTACACAGTCAGCCAAGAAACTCTCATTGATTTCAATCGCTTTTTAACCTTTCGGCCCGACGTGTCGTTTTTACTGTGCCGTGTGAAATCAATTCAGCTACTCCGGCAAATTCAGAACTTTTTTATGCCCTCCCGCCCCTCTCACGTTAGTGTGTGTGAGAAAACATTCACATGTGCGCTAACGCTGCTGAGGTCGTGCGTCCTGACACAAAATGCGACAGACGCGGCTCCTAATTTTGCTGCCATGCTCGCGTGTGAGCATTCGCACACACTTTAGCACTTGTGCGCTCGTTAAAAAAAAAAATGTCTTATTTGTTGCGATGACACGACATTATAGAGATCAAATCTTCATTGGAGCTACTGCTGTTTCGTCCGGCTAGCTACGGTTTAGCGCAAACGCCACGAGGTTTAAATTTACAATAACTTTAATAACTATTCCTGCGAAATATGTTCACACAAAGCAGTTTTTATTTTTCCCCCCAAATATGTGTATTATGTTATTTGAAAAAAAGAAAATAAGAAAGTACCTGACTCAAAGCTAGCGAATACTGCAAAAATCCCCTTTCGCTTTTTTGTGATTGGACAGTTTCCGTCGTGTCTGCCTGACTACTGAATAAACGGTATTCTGATTGGCTTTGGGGACGTTGTCTACTCGGATACAGTACGCACCTTTAAATCGATTGGTTGCGCCTTTTTATTTTTTTCAAAATCTTTATTCCGATTGGGCAGCCGGCGCTGATCTGCCCAGTAACGGAGTCGCTCGAATCGCCAATGGTAATCTGCCTAGTAACAGGGATTTGATTGGGTTTTAGAAAGGATGGGTCGTAGAGTACCGCGCGGACAAGAAGGAAGCTGAGCGCAACTTTCACTGCGCAGAATTTCTTTAAAGGCAACGAAATAAATTTAATTTGCATTACAGGAAGTGCTGCAGCGCGTACAGGAAGCGTGTTTACACCACCCTCAATGTCTTTGATATCCAAAATTAATTGTATTTATACACACACACTTGGACATATTAACTGTCCATTATATATTAACTATTTTATTGCAAATATATGTATATGTAATATTTCTTTCATGCTGCATAGCAACAGCAGTGCGGTACGTGCATCTATCCATGCATGGTTTAGTAAACGTTTTTTT